ATTAAAAAAACCAGGGCCGCCGCTTTTTTTCCGGCTTGGGGAAAAGCCGGAAAAGAGCGTCTAGACTGGCGCGATCCTCCGGAATAAAGTAGGAATAAGAGATCCTCCGGAATAGGGCTTTATTCTGGAGGATCGCGCCAGTCTGGACACTCTTTTCCGGCTTTTACCCAAGCCGGAAAAAAAGCGGCGGCCATGTTTATTTAAATCCCGCGGGGGATATTTAAATCCCCCGCGGATTTCCCTATTCCAAAGTTCGCAATTAGCATGCCTCTTCCGAAGAAGGGGCCAGTCTAGACATAGCCTTGACTGTTTTTACCTCCAGTGGGCTTTGGCTCAGGCACCTAAAGTCAGTGGGAGTCTCCACTGATTTTAATAGACACTGGATCCAGTCACCAGCACATTAATACCAGGCAGGAGAGTATCTGCCAACTGGAGAATTAAGAGATGGGGTAAAAGCTAACGGGCTTCACTGCCTCAAGAAAAAATGAACCGATATAAATACTGGATAAATGAGAAGGAGAAATATGATAGATCTACAAAGACTGCCTCTGAGTGGTATAAGCATTAGGGAAGTCTAGACGTAATTCTCCGGAAAATAAAGCCTTTCAAGTAGGAATAAGAGATCCTCCGGAAAAGGCTTTGTTTTCCGGAGAAAAACGTCTAGACTGGCGCTTTTCTCCGGCTTATCTCCAAGCCGGAAAAAAGCGGCAGCCATGTTAATGCAAATACCGTGGGGGATATTTAAATCCCCCGCGGATTTGCCTATTCCAAAGTGCTACATTAGCATCCCTTTTCCGGAAGGGATGCCAGTGTAGACACAGCCCCACAGTATTCTTGCCAGTAAGTTAAAAACATATGGGTTGGATGAATGGACTATAAAGTGGATAGAAAGATGGCTAGATTGTCAGGCTCAACAGGAAGTAATCCATGGTTTGATGTCTGGTTGGCATCTGGGATCAAGCCGAGTGCCCTGGGGATTGGTCCCGGGGCCAGTTTTGTTCAATCTCTTCATTAATGTTCTGGATGATGGAATGGTTTGCACCCCCAGCAAGTGCATGGAGGACAAAAAGATGGTGAAAAAGGTATATATCCTGGAGGGTAGGGATAGGGTCCAGAGTGACCTACACAACTAGGAGGATTGCGCAGCAAAAATTATTAGGGGGCTGAAACACATGACTTATGAGGCGAGGCTGAGAGAACTGGGCTTATTTAGTCTGCAGGGATATGTCTACACTACCAGGTTATTTTTAAATAATAACTCCCAAAATAACTATTTCAAAATAAGTTTATTCCTCTTCACATGCAGGAGTTATTATTTCGAAATAACCGGCTTAGTAGTCTGGATGCTTGTCTTGCTATTTCGAAATAAGGGGATTAATTTCCAAATAACTCCTCAGTGTAGACATGCCCCAGAAAAGAAAAGTGAGGGGGGGATTTGATATCAACCTTCAGCTACCTGAAAAGAAGCTCCAGAGAGGATGGAGTCAGACTATCAGTGGCGGCAGATGACAGAACAAGGAACAATGATGTCAAGTTGCAGTGGGAGAGGTGTAAGGTGGATATGAGGAAAAACTATTTTATTAGGAAGATGGTGAAGCACTGGAATGGGTTGCTTAGGGAGGTGGTAGAATTTCCATCATTAGTGGTTTTCAATTCCCAGCTTGACAAAGCCCTGGCTGGGATGATTTAGTTGGGGTAGGACCTGCTTTGAGTAGGTGGTTGAACTAGATGACCTCCAGGGGTCCCTTCCTTCCCTGTGTGGCCTTAGGCAAGTTCCTTCCTGTTTGCTTTCAGTATGTATATATATATATATATATAAATAATTGGCTAATAAACAAGGTGCCAGCAGTTGGCACTTAAGCATGGCCCTCCCTGCTCTACTAGCTCCCAACCCAGGGCACAGTAACACAATAATTTAAAATATGTGGCCTAGGGAGTGAGCACTTCTATAGCTGCTCCCTGGGCATCTTCCTACACCAGCTTCCATTCCCCTACTGGTGCCACTGGTTTGCTTCCAAGCTCCCCCTGGAGTCCCCTCTGACTGTGGTTTGTAGGGTCTTCCTCTCTCAGTTGGGGCTCTTTGCTACCATCCTCCTCAGCTAAAGGGCCTGTGTTGGCTTGATGGTGGGGCCTGGGCCCAGTCAGATAGGCAAGAGCCTGCACCACACAACTGCTCTCCTGCTCAGTCAGCCTACACTGTGCTGACCTGCTCCCTTTTCAGATCAGTATCCACTGTGAACATGACCAGCTGGGGTGGCTGAGTGTGATTTCTGGGCCCAGACTTGCTCCTTAAGATACAAGAGCCAGAGATTGTGGGAATGATGGTGGAGGATGAAAGCAGGTCGCTGCATCATTGCTATGTCCACTCCCCAGCATGGGTAGGAAGAGGGGCAGGTTCCTAGGTCAACACATGTTCTTTCCCACACACCCCAGGTGGTCACAGTAGCTCAGTTTCAATTCTCCTCCCCCTGCCCCCATGGATGAAAGGGGGATGAAGAAAAGCCCATGGCTCATCACATTAAACCAGAAGTGCAGACAGGCACTAAGTCTACACCATGTAGACAGGGGCATTATCAAAAATCTTTTTGACTCGTTTGAGACTGTGCACACAGACTCTCCATCCTGACCTTACATCAGAGCCACAGTACAAAAGAGCCACTGCACCCTTTGGTTCTGTCTTGTCAACTGGAATTGTCTACTCAGTACAATAACAATCAGTCAATGTTTTACGTTAGTAGCAAAGACACTAAAGAGAATGAAAAATGAATGTCTGAAAGAAAAAGAGAACTTGGACATGAGTGCTTTTTAACTTCAGAATTATTAGCTTATGAAACACTACAGATATTGATTTTTATTTTCCTTTGCTTTCGAGATAAAAGCAACACAAAAGAGCTGCCTACAGCTTTCAAATATTTCCTCAGAACTAAATTCAGCATTTGAAACCTGACTGCTCAGATGAAGCCAGAGATGTGAACCAGGATAGCTCTGCATTTTGGGGATATTGAAAAAAGAAAGGATTCTGAGGCATGGACAGGTTTTGATCGGAGAAACCTTGCCTTAGAATAAGTCCAATTAGTACTAAGGATTCTGATTGTTGCAAGATTTTTAAGTATTAATAATAACATCTTAAATTCAATCCTTTATTTAGCAAGTCGTTTATGCCCTGCATGCCTGGGAGTAATCCTGTGCTAGTCACAGATCATTTATTTTTAATAAAATAATATTCATTATAATTAATTATTAATTATTTAAGCACCAAAAATGTATTCTCACCTGTTAGGTCCTTTCCAGTTCAGACTTCTAGAACTCTAGATGGTGAGATTCCTAACCCTCGGCACATGCTATGACACACTACTCTGTTACCTGAGTGTTGCACTAATTACAATTTGTTGCTGGTTATTATCATTATTATTACAGCAGAGCCCAGAGACCAAGGTTCTCTCTAAGCTGCGTGGCAGCACAGCCTGCAGCTACTTAATGAGCCCTGCCTAGGGGTTCAGAGCTGCCTGTCTGGGAGAGGGGCATTTTTCCCTCAGCTACAGCCCAGCTATGAGCTGTGCTATCACGCAGCTTAGAGGGAACCTTGCCAGAGACCGCAGTGAGGATTGTGGCCCCATTGTGTCAGGTGCTGTACAGATACAGGGTGAAATCCTGGCCCTAGTGAAGTTAATGACACAATTCTCATTGTCTTTGACAAAGCTAGGATTTCACCATTGGCCCCAACCCCGAATAACTCACTCAGCTATTCCAGTTTTTTTTTTTTTTGCCCAGAGACTGCTAAACTTCAACAGATGAACTAGTGGACCCTCAACCAGGGTTACCTCCTGGGGTAAAACCCAAGCCCCACTGCACAGAACTGAAGATTGAGCTGAAATCTTGATACCAGGGGCCAAAGTCTGGTCTTTGATGGACCCCTGCAGGGCCACTGGCCCCCAGTTGAGAACCTACTAGACAGCCTGGCAAACCAGATATTGCCTAGTGATCTCAGAGAAAACAGAGTTTCTGTGTTTCTCGCTTCACTAAGCATGACTATGTATTACCGTAAACTTCCTTGCCATCAGAAGGAAGGTTGAAATTTGAAATTTAAAATTAATAGATGCCTCCTCACCAGCAAGATTTGCAGTTCATAGGGAAGACAGTTAGGAAACGAGCCTTGCAATGTATAAAAATGCATCCTTCCTCCAGGCCCCTCTCTCTCAATATATATATATACACACACACACACACACAATCCCTGAGAGGCAGATAGAAGAGGATTTTGTACCAGAGCACACTAATGCTATTCAGGTTGCCCATAGCCCTGAGCAACTTAGCTTTATTAATGAGATTAAGAGTTTCTGTGTTGTGATCATTTGAGGTTATTACAGTGTTGGCACTGGGTACTTGTACAATTGCCTAATAGTTGTCCAAACAAGTTCTAGCAGAGTTACATCTTGGGGCACTGAGAGACACAAACACTATTAGTGATGGCATTAGGGTTTCTGATATACAAACTGAATTCAAAATCCTTTGAATGTTGAATGCTCCTGGATTCAGAGTGAATTTTTTAGCAATGACTTGGAGGAGTGATTTTTGTTACAAGAAGTGATACCTGCAGGAATGATGAAACTACGGGTGTTATGTCACATCTCTTTGGGGTCAGAAGTAGTTCTGTTTCATGCATTTCTTATCAGAAACTCTCTACTCCACAGGCTTAGCAAACTTCCTAATCAGAGACACAGTGGAAACATCAGAGAACAGACATTCCCTAGGGATACTCTCAAGGTAAGGCTAGTAATGTGAAATAAAACTTTGTACCTGTGCTACCAATAACACGGCTGACAAAAAATCTCAGAAGGGTAGCTGCATTAGTATGTAACTTTAAAAATGAGTAGTTCTGTGGCACCTTAGACACTAACCAAAACAGATAGAATCATGAGCATTTGTGGACAAACCGCACTTCATCAGATTTGTCCGTGAAAGTTCATGATTCTGCTTTTGGCTAACAAAATAAATTAAAAAGACTAGATTTTTGAGTACTCTTCAAAAGTCGGGGAAGACCAGAGAGATTCCAGAGGACTGAAAAAGGGCAAATATAGTACCCATATATATTAAGGGGAATATGGACAACCTGGGTAATTGTAGATCAGAGAACTTAACTTCAATACCCAGAAATATAATTTAGCAAATAATTAATTTTCAAGTACCTAGAAGATAATAAGTAATAGGTTACAGTCAGTATGGATTTGTCAAGAAATCTTGTTAAACCAACTAGATAGCTTTTGCTGAGAGAGTAATAAGCCTTCTGGATAGGACAGAACAGATAGATGTGGTGTATCTCCACTTTAGAAAGATTTTAGATTCCATCACACATGATCCTCATATAAACAAACTACGGAAATACATCCTAGATGGAGCTACTATAAGATGGGTGCCTAACTGGTTGGAAAACAATTCTATTCATAGAGAGTAGAGTAGCTACCAGTGGTTCAAATCAAGCTGGATGGGCATATTGAGTTGTTCCCATGGGGATCAGTCCTGGGTCCAGTTCTGTTCAGTATCTTCATAAGTGATTTAGATAATAGCATAGAGAGTACACTTGTAAAGTTTGTGGATACCAAACTGAGAAGGATTGCAAGTGCTTTGGAGGGGAGGATTACAATTCAAAATAATCTGGACAAACTTGGAAAAATGGCTGAAGGATATAGGATGAAACTCAATAAGGCTAAATACAAAGTACTGCATTTAGGAAGGAACAATCAGTTGCATATGTACAAAATGGGAAATGACTGCCCAGGAAGGATTACTATGGAAAGGGATCCAGGAGTTATAGGGGGGGTCACAAGCTAAACATGAGTCAACAATGTAACACCATTGCAAAAAAAGCAAATATAACTCTGGGATTTATTAGCAGGGGTGTTATAAGCAAGACATGAGAAGAAAATTCATCCACTCTACTTTATGCTAATACAGCCACATTTCAGAAAAAAAATGTGGACAAGTTGGAGAAAGTCCAGAGGAGAGTCACAGAAGTCATTAACAGTCTAGAAAACATGACTTATGAGGAAAGATTAGAAAAATGGGTTTATTTAGTCTGAAGAACAGAAGACTAAGGGGGAATATGATAACAGTCTTCAAGTATCTAAAAGGTTGTTACAAGGAGGAAGGAGCAAAATTATTCTCCTTACCCTCTGAGAATAGGACAAGAAGCAATGGGCTTAAATTTCAGCAAGAGAAGGTTAAGTTGGACATTAGGAAAAATTTCCTGTCAGGGTGGCGGAGCACTGGAATACATTGCCTAGGGAAGTTGTAGAATCTCCATCATTGGCTGAGGTCAGGGGACCCAGAAAGCCAAGCCGGGGCAAGGACCAGGCTAGAAGGGAAGGTTGAGAATTGATAGACCTGTTTTACCTTGGGGAAGTGACACAGCCCATCAGGAAGACTGAATCACTGAGATGGAACAGAAGAGAAACTGAGGTCTCCAAACTGGGAAATATATGTAGGGACCCAAAGCCCTGGGGATGAGCCAGATGCCAGTCACACCAAAAGGCAATTGCTTCAAGTGTGGGCGGGAGGGGCATTTTAGGCAGGAGTGCCTCTTTGTTGACTGCAGGCATGTACAGCAGGCAATAATGCCTGGAAATAGAGCCCAGCCAAAATGCTGCTGTCAATATGAGTCAATAGTGCTTGAGTGAGAGATGTACGGATGAGCTTGGTGCAGTCTTCTGACATGGCAGGGGCCCTGATTTACCTCCAGTGAATATGTAATCCTACATATTTGCAGCTATCATGGCAAATGCAGGCTCAAGCCACCTCTGATAGCCAACCAACCTGAGAAAGTGCTGCACTTGTTTCTTGGTTGCAGAGGCTGGAATACTGGTCAGTGCCTGGACTTTGTCCACAAGGGGGTGTAGTCATAGTGTACCCAAGGTAGGTCACTTTTCTGTGCTCCAAGTGGCAATTCGCTGAGTTTACCATAGGCTCTGCCTTCTCAAGGAGATGAACAACCATGGGAATATGTTGCATGTGGTCCTCCTAGTTGCTTCTGTAGATGACTATGTCATCAGTGTGGGCCCCATACTGGTCACTGGGTTGCAGCACCTGGTTTGTTAGTCACTGAAAGGTCACTGCCACTCTGTGTAGGCTGAAGGAGCATCATCACAAATTGACAGAGACATCAGGAAGGCTGTCTCCTCTCAGGACATCCTTGTCTGGGGCATTACTGGTAACCTTTCATAATATTCATGAACCCCTGAGTCTAATGGCTGGTCTACCCAGGACATAGGGTAGACATCAAAACAGGATATAATATTGACCTTTCTTAAGTCTATGCAGAACTAGGTTGTGCCATTAGCTTTTGGCACAGATACAATGGCTCTCCTTCATTCAGGACTCCTTGACAACACATATGGTCAGCATAGTTTGGAGTTCCTCATGGACCCATTGCCCACATCTTCCTTGGCAACTCACACAGCCCCTGCATTAAAAGGGTGTCACAAGGAGGAGGGAGAAAAATTGTCCTTCCTGGCCTCTGAGGATAGAACAAGGAGCAATGGGCTTAAACTGCAGTAAGAGAGGTGTAGGTTCGACATTAGGAAGAAGTTCCTAACTGTCAGGGTGGTTAAACACTGGAATAAATTGCCCAGGGAGGTTGTGGAATCTCCATCTCTGGAGATATTTAAGAGTAGGTTAGATAAATGTCTATCAGGGATGGTCTAGACAGTACTGGGTCCTGCCATTAGGACAGGGGACTGGACTCGATGAACTCTCAAGGTCTCTTCCAGTCCTAGTATTCTATGATTTTATGATTAGTTTAGATGAGACCCCACAAATTCATCAATATTTCTTTGGTGTACAGATCCTCACAAAGTTCTCAAATTCATCCATTGTGGCATGCATGGTTGTCAAGAATAGCAGCATAGCCTTGGGGTACTGTGTGGCACCGTCGACTGTCACTAAAATATGACAGTATGATCTCATGTTCTTCTAAGGGGACACATTAGATCCATCCCTATTCATTGAAAGGGTATGCTCACCACTGGGAGAAGAATTAGGGGGGTCTCTGACATCCCTTTGGGCTTTCCAGATAGCATTTGGAGCATGAGGCACAGAAGTCACAGACCTCTTTATGCAGAAGAACCTGAGAGCTGTGACTTCTGTGCCTCATGCTCCAAATGCTATCTGGAAAGCCCAAAGGGATGTCAGAGACACCCCTAATTCTTTTCCCTTCCCAAATGTCCTGTGCATAGCATTGACTGGGCTATGTGGAGAGCCAGTAGCTGATTCTCTACCTCCTGGGTTCAGAGGTCTCTGACTACCCAGTAGAATTGCTCATTCCAGAGCTTAAGTGGAATCACTGGGGTTCATCCTCCTCCCCACTGAGAATGGTTACCTATTCCCAGGCCCAACTCAGTTTCTGACCCTCTTTCTGTTCCCATACAAAGTCCCCATCTTTGGGTAACCAGCAGAGGCTCAGTTCTCCAGGCAACCTTGAACTAATATATTTCCCATTTCCTCACCTGAGCCTTCTGCCTTATCCCATGAGCCTCCTTCTTTTTAGCTCTGGATTGGTCTCACCCAGGGCACCTTTGTTCTGCTGCTATAGAAGTTCTCCATACCATTGCCAGTCCTGCCCTAATATCACTGCGCAGACCAGAATGGCCACTAAGCCAACTGAGAAAGTCACCATGTGGCCTCACACTTACAGTTTCTCTTTTATCACCAGGAAGGTGCAGTGCCTGGAGACATGTGACAGAGCCTTCTGGACTCTGAAGGACCAGCTGACCCTGCCAATTTGGTTTCAGCCTGACTTATCATAGGTGTTCATCCTCAGATGGATAAGAAAGAAAGAAAGAAAGAAAGAAAGAAAGAAAGAAAGAAAGAAAGAAAGAAAGAAAGAAAGAAAGAAAGAAGCCATAATGTACACAGGGAAGACCATAACCACCCCCAGCTGGAAGGAGAAAGGAAGATTGAATATGGGTAGGTTTGTGAGTAGGCTTGTCCAATGTTGGCATATTTCTTTGAGAACTTTTATTGTATTGATTTGACTCTGTGCACAGAGTATGTGTATGTTTTTATTTTCTACAAAGCTAAAACCATGTCAGATTAAATGACAAATGAAATGGCCATCAGTTTTCATGTAAATGCATATGAAGTTTTGACAATGAGGGTTGTTATACTGACCTATACATACAGCTCTCAGGCCCTAGGTACCACCCCATCAAAAAACATTAATGAATTGACAGAAATTCAGAGAAAAACAACAGTTAATAAAGGCGTAAAGGCAATGAGTTATGTGGAAAGATTTATGAAAAAATATGTATTGTTTAGTATAATTATTAAATATAACCACCATGCAAGAATGTGAAAGATTTAAATACCAAGAAAGGAGAGGAATTGTTCAAGATGTCCCATGAGAGATGTGACTGTGAGTAACAGGATGAAATTAAGTGCAGGAACATTTAGGCTGAATTACAGGAAAAAATTACTAATGCTGACCTGGGGTAGACTGTGTGATAGCCTCACGAGGGAAGCAGTAGAAATCCCAACCTTTTTGATCCTTGAAAACAAGCTATACATAACTCTGGACAATACATTGTTGGGAACAATTCTGCATTGGTCTGTATGGGATGTAGTGGATGACCTAATGGTGATTCTTACCAGGTCTCTCTCATATGACTGTCACTTTCATGGCACATCCTAATGCAAAAAGGCTCCTTCTTGGGATTTCAATGGGAGTTAAGTGCTTAGGCCCAGAGCTACACAGGGCTTTTTGTGATCATGGTGGAATGTCTGTCCTCACCTGGTATTCAGGTTAGGCATGACATTGGCTGCCAGAGGTTGGCTTGTGCACATCAAGGGGACTTTTACAATAAAAATGTAGGTGACAAGGGATTGTAAGCGCCTGAGTCAGATGGCAGCTGAGTAGAATGTTTGAACATTTCAATGTGCCTGCATTTTGGATGAGGTGTTAAAAGTGGGAATTAGGTACTTAAATCCTTTTATAAATCTGCGTTTTAAGAGCTTTTGAAAACCTCCTCACATCTTTAGGTGCATAAATGCATTTGACAATCTCAAAAAACTTTGATGATACAGAAAGAAGCAAACAACTTGATTGCTCAGGTACGTTGTAAAACAGGCATAAAAAGTAAAACCAGCTGGTGCCAGAAAGAGAGACAGAGAGAGAGAGGATAGATTTCTTCTAGTTGTAGTGCATAAAACAGATGTCCTGTTGCACAGAACAGGAATACAAAACTGCAGATGCAACTCTGGTGCTTGTGACAGGCTATAAAACTCAAGTTAACAGGTTGCTTCAAACAGAAAGGATGATCTCCCATTTTCTATATTAGAGGCAGGTAATAATGATGAAAAGATTACAGATTTGTATTCAGGCAGTATATCCTACTGGATTAGGTGTGCCTTGCAAGGTCTGTTTTCATGGACTCTATGGGTGAGTGTGGTTGTAAATGACTAGGAGACAGAAGTAGTTGTGTGACAGATGTTTTGTTTTAGTGGGATCCTTCTAAAAATTATACTAACCTTTGTACTCAACATGTTTAGGGGGAAACTGACCAGCGGCGAACTTGGGGAAGCTAGGGGCAGAGCAGATGGGGTGATGCCGGGTTGGACCCGCAGCATTGCCCTCTCCCATGCTGCGCAATTCCCTGCAGACCTCCTACCCCCGACTCCTCATAGCCCCCCTTCCAGTACTCCGGCATATCTGATAATCCGGCACCCCCTGGGTCCTAAAGGTGCCGTGTTATCGGAAGTTTACTGTACTAAGAAAAGGGGAAGCTACAGAATCAAGAGCAGAGCCACCTTAGCCTCAAATCCCCCAATGCTCTGTCAGTCCAGAGCCCTGTTGTGATCCTACCTCCCTCTGAGCAGCTTCACTCCCTTTGCCCAGGTGAACTCATTTCCATGTTTGCCAAAAGGCTCAAAGGCCCCCTTTCCCACATGCATAATCTCCTTTCTGAAAAGCCCACCTGCCTTTGTACCAGCAGCTGCTTCCCAGCAGCAGGGAAATTTAAAACAGTCTTTTTTTCAGCCCTTAGACAATTTGCATTTTTTGGGCTGTCCCTTCACCTCAAATCCTTTTCAACCTTCTAGCTCTGTTCCTACGTCAGCTTCATCACTCAGACTACCTTCTGGTGGTGGCAGAGCACTGCCTCAGGCACACTAGGAATAGGGCTTATAAAGTCTGATGATACGTAAGTACATAAATACTTTTTAAAATCTGGTCCTTAAGCACTTAGAAACCTAAATCTCATTGGAAGTCAGTGAAGGTCCTAGGAGTCTGTCTGTATCACTCTTTAAATTGAACTTAGTTACCTAAATCACTTAGGCACTTTAGAAAATTTTTGTCTCTAAATTGCCATAGCCAGCTTTTAAAGTCTCAACCCATCTATAATTTAACATTCTCCTTAACAGAGTTCATAAATCACATGAATTAAACACGCTCACAAGAGCCCCTCAGCACATTTCAAAGTGATACAATTCAGTTTAAAAACTTCTTATTTATAAATTAATCTCCACTGTTCAGTTTACTTTTTAATAAATTGGGGGAAATATTTTAAGGCTGTTCCTTTCAAATTTTATGAATTCAATCCTTTTTCTCTGCCTACTCTTGTATTGGCAACTTTTCGGGCTATTAAAAGTTGAAATTAGTTCCCAGAGGACAGAGGGAAAAAAAACTACAAGTTGTTTGTCAAGAAAAAGCCTTCACTGTTATAAGGTCTCTATACAGCTTCATACTGGATCTTATTGCAGGAAGTGGTACATATGGCATTTATATCTATTAATGAGTGAAGTAATGGAAATAACTCTGCCCCTGCGGCAGCAGAGGACACAACTCACCCAAAGTGCTTTCTTAGGTTTTGATAAACATCTCAACTCTAGCCAAAGAAAGAGCATAAAGAAAGATCAAGGAGCAGTCCACAGCTGGTGTAAAATCCATTGATTTCAGTGGAACTACCCCAGCTGATTCCAACTCTGAATATGAGCCTAATTTTGTAGGCTGGTTGGTCTTTTTCATATTCTAAAAAAAAATATGGAAACTATTTTTTCCCTTCTCTTCTTCTCTAGCTGCTACCACTTTGTCTTTATTTTTTCAACTTCATTTTCTGGTTAGCCTCATGTATAACTTAATCAATTATCCCCTTCCTTTCAAAACATACAAACACACACACACTTTTCTTTGCTTCCTAGTGAACATATCCATGACAAAGAGTGTACTTTTATGCTGAGTTTGAATGACTGTGTCATGAACAATATAATGAAGAAAATACATAACTATGAACATTTAATGCTTCCATGATTTTATGAAAACTTTCATCTTTGCTTTTATGTTTCCAAAACGTATAATTTTTTTCTGACTCTGCGGCCAAGGAAATATTAAACAATGCTCTGAGCTGGTGCAGCGGCAGCTGTTGTAATTCTCACAGAAATAGCAGTACGTAAGTCAGTCTTGAAAAACAAAGTGGAATCTTTATAGGGTAAGGGTCTGCATACTAATAGACATGAACCAACCATCCCTGTACCAAGTGAGAGTGTCAGACTTGCAAAAACTCTTGGGCTATTCAGAAATGGACGTATTGTCTTGAAAGACGGGGACAGCTGTGGGCAACAGAGATGTCAGCAGGTCACAAGGATGTGTGTGAGACAGGCAAGCTATGGGAGTTGTTAAGCACTTCTTGGCACTGGAAAAAAGGATATTATGGCTTAAACAAAGACTGTCATAATGCTAAGGCACCGATGGATTAAACGTTTTGTAACAAGGGGGTTAAAAAGCTTGGGAACAACATCTAAAATGCACAAACTAGAAGTAATGAGATAACTCCTGCCCCAAATCTTATCCCAGTAGTAAAATGAGAGTAAAAGGGCCTTGCCCCACAAGAATTATGCAGGCCTTGAGGGTGTAGAACCCACACCCAGGCACTCACGGAACTGGGACTCCAAGCCTGTGAGGCAATACAGTGGGCACAGTTAAATAGCCCAAAAACCAAAGGGACAGATAAAGGAAGGATGGCCCAGCTGTTCAGGCACTAACTTAGGACCCAGAATGTGATTTCAAGCCCTGTTCCATCACCAAGTTCTATGTGACTTTAGGCAAGTAATCAACCTCGGAGCCCCATCTGCAAAATGGGGATAACAATACCTCACAGGGGTGTTGTCAGAGTGTGACTTTAGGCAAGTAATCAACCTTGGAGCCCCATCAGCAAAATGCGGATAACAATACCTCACAGGGGTGTTGTCAGAGAGGTGGGTTCAGCACCCCTCAGGCCTGGAGGAAATCGACACCTATGGCCCAAACCCTGCAAGCTCAACTCAGCTGGCATGAGCAAGCCACAAGTTTTCATTTGCAGAGTACACATACCCTTAGGCATTGCAATGCTGCGTCCTGCCACCAAGTGGGATTTGAGTAGGTTCCAGGCTCCCTACACAATGCATGAGGAGGAATTGGGCATCTTAAAAGAGGACGAGCAGAAGCCAGGACACTAAGCAGGAACTCTCTAGGATAGCCAATGGGAAATACCTAGGAGGGAGTGGGCCTAGTCCCCACCATTCAAAGGCAGGGATGCAGCTCTCTTCACTCAGGACTCACTGCTGGCATTAGGGCGGATCTAGTTTAATTCACCTCCCAGGGGAAGCTCCCAAACAACTGACCTATAAGGCATTCCAGGGGCTCTCTCAAATTCTTCCACATGGTATAAATAAACCAGGGGTAAGGAACCTCAGGCCCGGGGGCCGATCTGGCCCCCAAGCCTCACCCACCCCGCCCACCCCACCCCCAGCATTGGAGAGCCTGCAGTGGCATTCCAGCCCCACACTGTCTCACCACGGGGCTGGGCTCCCCTAGGTTCTGGTGTGTGAGGGAAATGTGGAGAGTGTCCTTCTCAGTCGGGAGCCACGTCAGGGAGGTGGGAGGGCTCAGGGCAGTGGGTTGGGTGCAGAAGTCAGAGCAGAAGGCTGGGAGGGTTGGTGGCTCAGAGAAGGGGGTGGCAGGTGCTGGAATGAGGGCAAGGAGTGGAGAGCTGAAGGCTCAGAGTTCAATGTATGTGTGTGGGTTTAGGGTAGGGGGTGGGGATGCAGGAGTGAGAGCTGAGGGTGGGGATCTAAGGTATAGGGTTTGTTGGGGGGGCTCAGGGCACAGGTGCAGGTCTCAGGGTAGGAAGCTAGGAGGGTATGGGGAGCTTACTGGGGCTGCCCATGACAGTGAGGATGGTGCTGTAGCTACCACCCTGGTTCTTCCTGGGGAGCGGAGCTGTGGTGTCTGGTCCAGATCTTCTGGGGTCCAGGGGCCAGACCTGCGTGGCTTGATGCTGGCCCCAGCAGTGCCCCTTGGGATGGGCAGGATTCATGGCCCAGTCCTGGTCCGGCAGTGCT